CCTGGTCCACAGCGGGCCAAGGTCTCCGGTCAGCGGGCCAGCCCCCGCTTCGCGCATGATCCACGTAGAGGCCTTGCCGGCACCTGAACCTGGCTGCTGCATCTCCGGGCTGCTGGAAGGCGACCACAAGCACTGCCTGAGCGCCGTGTGGTGCTGTGTGGACTTGACACCGTCAGCCCACAAACGTCAGTTCAAGACGCTCATTTCATACTGGGCTTCACAGTTTAGGGCCGGTTATTAAAGCCTGGGTGGCAGCCCCCTGCACACGGTCACACCTGGTGCACCCAAGCTTCATCTCAGTTCGTTTGTGCTCCACGGCCAGAAGAGAAGCAGGCAACCCTAACGTTCTGATTGTGGATGCGGTACAGACACGAGGCTTACTCACTACTCACTGAGACTTGACAGAGGCTTGCACCCCGGAATACTCATTTTAGTATGCAGATTCAATCTACAGCATTTATTAAATTAGCCGCACTTCTTTGGAAGGTAACAGACACCTTCCTTGGAAAGCAGCTACACAGTAAGTGTGTTTGCCGTAAACTGAATCTGATGTAACAGAGTAAGTGTCGCTTCACTCGATGACTTCCTCTTGGACTAAAAGTCACGGCTCCAGTTAATTGGACCATTTAAGGCCCTGACAGGCTCTTCACAGTGTATTTTCCAATGTTCAAATATTTGAATCCAGTGGTAAGTGAACTGAGCCAATCAAATAAGGCGAACTGTGTCCCAGGCATAGCTGAAGCACACTAATCAGTTAAAATGCTCCCGTGCGGTTTCTTTGCCATTTTCTTGGAAACGGGCATTTTTAACAGTACAATTTAAAGTTCTGCTAAATTAAACTCTCATTACGTTCAAAATGGAAATCTAGATGTAAGACGCAAACAGCTTTGCTCTTCAGTTTTTTTAAACCCTCTGCTAGGGTATCTATGTTAGATTAAATTAGAACTTCATCCCCTTGGCAGTAAGTCTGATGACAGAAATCCTGGGGGAAAAAATGGGAAGTCAAAGAGGGGAACCGTCTTTCATTAACGAAGACCCTGGGCAGTCAGCGGCATTGAGCCACACGGCTGTTAGCAGAGCCAGGATTCCGACTGAGGAAATCGGAGTCCAGGGTGCTGGCTCTCCAAGCCCTGGGCTCTCCCTGGGCGGGCGGCGTGGGTTTACTAAGAAAGAAACCTGTCGTCTAGCATGCAGACAAGATTTCACCCGCCTCCTAGGCGTCCGCTTAGGTCCAGAGACGGTTCATCCCTCACTCCTTAGAGAGCCCATGACGACAGCCGTGGACGACGTGGGAGCAGACCTGTCCTCTGCTGCACGCTCCATGGAGTCCTCCTGGCCGCCACAATGCGCTTCTGCACGAATA